CAGATTTGGGAAATCGTGAACGGGTTCGCTGCTGCAGGAGAAAAGGGTCTGCGCGGTGCATAGCAGGCCAATTGAAGAGTGGAGCGGGGAGCTAATGTATCTTCCCGTTTTAGAACGAAAGATTCATTTCGATTTTACTCATCCTATTGGTGGACATAGCTACCTGCGTACATGACTGGATGACAGTGCATACTTCCACGTTTTAGCAGGAGATTCATCTCAACCTTGCTCATCCTATCGATGGGAGTAGCCTCCCTCCAATTTCACTGATGCACGGGGTGGTGCTTGTTCTTGTTTCGGATCGTGATCTGAATCTGCTGCAATCGGGATTCCGATGTCGCAAGTCGTCGTGGCTATTGTGCGTGGGCACAAATATTGCGGGCATGCGAGTGTGGGTGTGAGAGAGAGGGAGAAGGGATTTGGATGAATGTGGACGTGTGGTCGGGCTTCTTACGACTAAAAGTGAGAAGAGAAGAGGGGAGAGAACTTACTGCTGCGAGTTGGTGGTGTGGGATGAACCGAAAGTCAAGGTCCGAGTGGCGGAAACACTGCTTGTTGTCACAATTCCGACAGTGCATTGGCCACGTTCAGCGGGAGGTTCATCTCCACTGTGCCCGGTGACGGGCACACGCACTGGTTACTTGAGCGTCATGCATCTTTTTGTGCTTCAACAAAAGGTGCATCTGTGCCTGCCTCCGGTTTGAAAAATAATCGAACGAGGCAGCTAGTGTTTGGGATCGAGAACACGTAGGGAATATACGTACACGAACGAGCAGACGGGCGAGAGAGAACCGAGAGAGGAAGTAGACGGGGGTGTAGAGCGGAGCGGAACACGTACCTGGTGGCAGCTGACTTTCTTCGAACGCCCCGCACCCTCATATAGGTTGTATCGGACCGAAAGGAAAGCCTACGTACACTCATTATTTCAGTTTCGATTTTGTTTTTATAATATATATATTATATATATCGTCATATATATATATATCGTCACAATATATATATATCATATCATTATATATATATATATATCGTCATATATATATATATCGTCACAAACAGAACTGCCCGATAAACCGTAGGCAGAGAGAGAGAAGAGGACAACAAACGAGGGGCTGTGACAAACTGTTTCGTCGGAGTTTCACCGACTCATCAGGAGGTATATATCGTCATATATATATATATATCGTCATATATACATATACATATATATGCGACTTTCGTTAATCCTTCTAACTCTTTCTGTCTCCGGAAGTGCATGCACTAGTGTACTTAGTGAAAAGGGAATCCGGTTATGTGCTTTTCCACGACCGAGAGAGAGAACAGTTGTTCCGTCACGCGTATATCTTTCTAGGGGAAGATTCATTTCTACTTTGTACAGATTGACAAATGCAGGAATAAGATCTGCTGCTGCTGGCCACGCTTGCTATCATGATTCAAAGTTCTGTCGCTCATAGCTGCCAGTTGAGGTTCTGAATGTGTTTGACGTGGTGGTCTTGGAAGCATTGTTTCTAAGTTGAATGGCTTGGTCTATCTGTTTCTTTTGGGGTTTCTGACTGAAGTTGGGCTGAAAGACCGAACTTCATGCTTTTGTGGCTTGGGATAGACCGAACATTGTTTCCACGTTGAATGATTCTGTCTTGTTTTATTCCGAGGGATGATTTTGGTGAAGGACTAGCTGGGAGGTTTAGACTGAAGCCACACACTAAGCAACCGAGCATAATTGGAAATACTTCATCTAAAGTTTGCATGTGAATAGGCAGTTGGACATTTGTTTCCAAGCCGAATGGTTCAGCTTAAGCCATATCACTAAGAAGGGAGGTGAAGTCAAGAGTATATGGGCAAGTTGAGCATTGTGTCCAAGTTGAATGGCTCAGTCCCCTCCCCATAGTGTGAAAACAAAACAGATAATTATTAAATCTTGGATATTAAACAACTCAGGGCGACTAAGTAGGGTTTCTAAGTTGAATGGCTTAGTCACATGCCCAATGAAGAGAGAAGTAATTGTGCAACTCGTTCGTATATAATCTAAGGCATGCTAGGCATTGTTTCTAAGTTGAATGGTCTAGTGTCATGCCATATGTAAGATGGGTAAAAGGGATAATCATTTGGAGGATCAATTAACTATCTTACGAGGAAACAATTTGGGATTTTTGTGAGAGTACTTACCCACTGGTATGGACTTGTATGAGATTGAGTCAGAGCTCTACTTAATTTGAGTTGTAGCTTTGATAGGTAGCTGCATTAGATGCTCGCCATGTGCTGGAGCTATAGGAATTAGGTCAATTCCTGCATTTTCATATTTAAGTTTATTTTTCATAAGAGTTAGTTGAACTTCTGCATTTTTTGGGATAAGTTTATTTCCTCATATTTGGCTTTGTATAGATTTTGGAAAGTCACTTTTGCTAAGGGAAGTGTTGGCCAAATTTTTGCAAATCCAAAGAGTTAGTCAAATTTTGCCTTTGCGAATTTCAACTTTTGTTTGAGTTCATATCCAGCTTAGTAAAAATATGGGAAACGTACTTTTCTAGAGGAGGTGCTACCCAATTTTTTACTAAATCAGGGTTTAGACAAAATTCGATCTTATGAAGTCAGGGTTATTTTTTAGTTTGATATTTAGCTTTGTATTAATTCTGAAAAGACACTTTTCCTACGAGAAGCACTACCGAAATTTTCTATGTTTTGAAGAGTTGAAGTATATTTTGATAGAAAAAGTTTTGGCGATCCACCCTGTATAGGGCCTGTATAGGGGAGATGCTGCCAAAATTTTCCTTATTCTCTGGTGTCCTTTTGAGAACTTGAGTGAGATGTGATATGGGGGTTTATTCTCCATACACTAAATATTTAGTATTGGGATTTGACCTGTGTTGTGTTACAGGTCCTTCTTGGCCAGTTTGATTCAAGATCTGATTAGTCTCAACCTGATCCTATGAGGATTGTCTTCTGTTATCTTTTGATAACACGTCGGTCGGTTGATTGGTAGCTAGTTCGTCGGCTCATGACACGACTTTGCTTACACTATACCTCAACTTGATGCCTTAGCCCTGAGATTTGAAGTGTTTCTTTGAGAGTTTTAACCAGACTTCTTTGGAATGACCGTTATAAAGAACTGATGGGTTTTTATGGAAAGTTGGACAATGGTTGGCGCTGGAGTGTGTAAGGTGTGGTGTGAGCTGCAGGAAACAATAAAGTTGACCACATTGGTGTATGACAATGTGGCTTTCGCATATGTGTTTGTGTTTTATGCAGGTTAGTGTTTTTGAAGCTTGGTGTACGAGCCTTACTTTGGACGCAGTGAGAATGACAACCATATGTCGCACAATTTACATACTTGATGGGCTTATCTTTTCGCCTTATATTTTATCTCGAGTCCTGATTAATATATGAGTATTCGTACACTTTTTTATTTATTGATTGATTTTGCTTATTAAGTTTTACAGTCGGACGTTAAAGTCCGTAGCAACTCTCAAAGTTGAACCCCTTGGCCTGTTTCCAGGCCTCGAATGATGGAACCTCACTTTCAATGTTAGGGGAGTCCAACTGCTACAAAGGGCCTAGGCCCGCCTACCACTCATCCCCGCAGGGTCAAGAAGAGGGTACAACTCTCAACCGCCTTACCAGTTGTCTACCGTCGAGAGATTAATTCCTCAAGGCGCATATCAGCCGACACTTGAGTTTCTTGCTTGGGCCCGGTCCCACTGGGTACCTGAGGGTCCCACGTAGGCCGTGACCGAGTCCCAACCAAGAGGAGTCCTGGATGGACCTACTTTCTACCTCTACCGAACTGAAAAACCAATTTCCACTTCAGAGAGAACCTAATAACTACAGCCGTTCAGAGATAAAAAGACAAAGCACCGTAGAAAGCTATGGCGTCCAAAGCAAGATACCTCATCTCTTCATCCATCAAGTGAGAGAGCAGTTTGCATGCTCGTACACAAAATCAGGCCACAGAGGAGTAGGAAAAGAAACCCAGAATAATCCCAGCAGGGCAAACATTACCATGCATATATTCATGGGTATCCCGTAGGTGCATGACACTTGCTTGAGTGGCCTTAGCTTTGAGATGAAATAGAACTCACCCCCCCCTCATATGGTCCTCCTGACCCCTTTAACGCTACCTCTAGACTAGTGTCCTGTCTACAAGGAGGGTCTGACTATAACACCAAAGTGCAACGCCGGATCCCCCGCTGATGCTGAAGATTAAAGTAGCAACTTGCAATCCGTAGACGCAGAATGGCTACTTCCCTCAATCGCGCCTACTTGAGGGAAGCCCTAAAGTTGCCAAGTGTCTCCCTTAGGTCAAATTCCAGGTCCGAGTGCCTCTCACTGTCGCCTCTCACCAATTGTCGCATGAAGTCTTCTCGAAGTGTCTTGCCACCCCAAACTTACTCTCCAGCAACCTGGTCAGGCCCACTGTCGACCCAACGCGACCTAACCAGGTGGGGGCAGCTTTGCTTAACCACGCTGCTCCACTTCCCTCAACTTTCCAACCCTAACCCTTTGTGATAGCCCTCCCACTTAGGTTAGGGTTGGAGCGTCAAGGTTGACTCTCGCCAGCAAGTACAATCCGCTCTGATACCAATGTTATGATCCTGGCCAATTTTGAAGTGCACAATGACGAGAAAGTACAATGCTGTCCTATTGCAAAAAGAAATGAATGAAGTTGAGAAGAGAAGGAAAGAAGAAGAAGAAGAAAAAAGAAAGAGGAAGAAGAAGATGATAATCCCCCTTCTCCTCGCCAACCAAACTCCTCCTTTTCTCCTCCCCTGTTATTCAAACGGTAAATATTATCAGTCAAGAAGAAATCTGCTGTGTTCTCAGTCCGTGTTCGGGCAGGTCCTGAAATTATTATCATGATATCATTATTATTATTATTATTATTATTATTATTATTATTGCACTTGCACATTGCTATTATTGCACTACACATCGAGAACAGGGAGAGAGAAAGAGGAAGGGTGCACATGAGTGATAGTGAGAGAGAGAGGTCAAATGATGCTCACATCAATATCAAAGGCTCCAACATGACCGTTGCTCCTTCCTGATACACACACAATATTTGTCGGACTAGCTTCTATGACATCACAGGGAATGTTACCAATTGTCACACGATGATCTGCAATTCTGCTACCGAAGCCAAGTCCAGTAAAGGTGACATTGACTCCGCCTGCAACACTTCCTGACCTTGGGCTGATGTCAGTCAATGTGAATCGGACATTCAGGAATACAGGATGTACTTGCTCAGAAATGGCAGCATCCAACAACCTGTACCTCAAAAGCTCTTCATCCGTTTGGTTCACCCTCAATGGGCCTAGTGATTGGCCAATACCCTTGATGTTGACAACAACTGGATGCATGCCAGCCATCATTCCTGGAACTTCACATGCCAACACCTCATTCGTGACCGAGTAAATTATGGCATCCATCCCGTCGGTATAATCTAACAGCCGTCTTGTGAATGATGCACTAGATTCCACTGGTGAAGGGGCAACACCATCAGCTCCACTATCGTCATCTGGTAAAAGATCATCCTCTTCCTCGAACACGGGTGCAGGAGCAGCATCTGTTTCAGGGGGGGGCTCCTGCTCCTCCGGTGCAGGAGCAGCATCTGTTGCAGGGGAGGCCTCCTGCTCCTCCGGTGCAGGAGAAGGGCTGGGGCTCTCGTACTTGTCAAACTCGTACTCCGGTGCAGGGGAGGGAGTCCGAGCAGAGGGAGCGGAATAGTTCTTCTTGATGTCACAAATTTCTCTCCCCACAAACACTTGAATTGAAGCTGGATCTACAGTTGCAGTTGGCAAGAAGTTAGAGCCTCTGATCACAATATCGTTCCGTTCCCATGGTTTGACATTGTGTGGTTCTGTGTATTGAATGATTGGGGTCAAGGCCCGATCAAAAGTGAAGATATTTGTCCCTTCTGATACAGAAGGTGGTGCAGACAGTGGTACAGAAGGTGGTACAGACGGTCCTAAACGAATATAGCCATCATATCCAGTGATTGCCATGTATTCAACAGAAGCTTCCTGGAAACAGACTTCCACCCTTACTACCACGTTAACAGAATAATTACTTGCCGGTGCCACCACTTGAAGCTTGCCCGCACTGCTGAATAGCACCTTCGCTTCAAGATTGTCACCAAACCAAACGCGGTTGTAGCCTCTAATTGTTGAGAATCCATAGCCCAGAATGGTCACATCTGTCCCACCGTACAGTGACCCTGCCTGTGGTGTAATTGAATAGATGCCAGTTGTGAAGTTCTGTACAGCATGGAATGGGTACCCAAACCGTGCATGCCCAATATGTTTGAATGATAGGTAGACCAAGTACCTCCCAGCAGTCAGAGCAGGAAGCTGACAGTGGAGCGTGGTGTTGTTCGTGACAGATAAAACTATACATTCCCCACTATAGTTATGTGGGGAGGATTGAGACCGGAGCATAACAACTGCATCCTCAGCTTCTCCAAATCTGCTTCCTGAGATGATGAGCGTTTCTTCGCCAGTGAGTCCCTTGTTTGGGGGTTCAACCTGAATACTCCTAACCTCGGGAGTTGCATCTGCAGAAAGAAGGATACCAGTGTCAAAATGCTACAACAGAAGACATTAACGCCTTGCCCTGTTCATCAAAAGGGTGACTCCAGGTGGCCGCTATTGTGCAAGAAATAACTTAATCTGAACCTTCAGGCTTCAAGGCACACAGGTTGCTGAACCTTCAGGCTTCCTGGGACACGGTTGCTGCATGTTTGAGTTTTGTTATTAACTTATTGCCATGTAGTTTTTCCTTGAATGCCGAAACAATGTGTGCGCATTCCAATGAGCTGGACTCCACTTGCAGTTTATTTGTGGATTGATGACTTGTTAATCTGACAAACCAAAAAGTACTCACAATTGAGATTGTGCTGTTGCACGTCAGCATCTTCCGCAGACATATCAGTTTCCCATACCCAAAAAGTACTCACATTTGGGATTGCAGTATGCCTCTGTGCACTGTGTTTGTTCTGAACAATCACCATAGCAACCCCTTTTTCACCCAGATGCGTAGAAAACGTAACTGAAACATTCTTCCCATGTGGATATTTTGAAATGGTTGAGATGTGCTTTGCTCAAATGGCTATTTCATTGCTGCAAATCCGAATTGTGCAAAGTTAACCACGTTTGCGTAGGGGTCGGGCGGGGGGGTGAGGGGTGGAACAGGGCAAGGAGACCACGGTGGAGGGGGAGAGGAGTGTGTGTGTGTGTGTGTGTGTGTGTGTGTGTGTGTGTGTGTGTCTGTGTGTTTAAACTTACGTGAGGTATGCGAAGATACGGAACACCAGTATCAAGCAATTCTCCGACGGCAGAGAGTCCACGTACCTTGCACCTGTAGTATCCGCAGGTATGGTATGACACATCATGTGGTCGGACGGGCACCTACCGAAGCCTTGATACTGTCGCGTTTTCCCTATAGCAAGGATTACTGACGCGAAGAAACCATTCCATCCGCCACTCCGAAGAGAAGATGAGAGACGATCGGGGGGGGAAGGAGAAGAAAACAAGGAAGAAAAACAGGAGGGGAGCACTCACGCACGAGTATCGATCCTCACAAGCGTTTGAAGGCGAAAAGGGAGGGGTGTAATGAAACCAGTCTGGCAGATACTCATCAGACGTCAAGCACAAGTAGTCTCAGATCTGCACAAAGTCCCCAGTTAATGTGCAGTGCTATCTGAAAACAGTATCTCGTTACCATTAGACGAAGAGAGTGAAGGGGAAATAGACAGAGGAGAAAGTGGAAGAGATAAACAGTGATCACCCAAGAGTAATCCAATCAAACCCCACTTCTTCTCCAGGCTTCCTCTCTCCTCCACGTCATCAACCAGTACACGATAACAAGTATGATAAGTTCTGATCACACAGAAGTGCCACGTGGCACTCTTATCTCGTGAAGACCCTGAAGACAACAGCAGAATACGGTAACGACGTCAATCTCAGGTGAGTACCAGATCCCAATCATCCACAGATCCCGATCTCCCTCCTTGTCGCAACCAGTCACCTCATGTAGACAGTGTGGCCAATGCCACGTCAGATGTAGAGACAGGTGACATACGCCACATCATCAATGAAGACGGGGCAGTGCCACATCAGCAACACAATGTAGACAGGTGGCAGCGCCTCATCAGCAATGTAGATAAGTGGCATGCACCACATCAGCAATGTAGACCAGTGGCATGCGCCACATCAGCAATGCAGACGAGTGGCATGCGCCACATCAGCCAGATAGACAGGTGGCAGCGCCACGTCAGCAATGCCTGACGCACAAAGCAGAAAGCGCCAGCATGCTGCCACAGTCCCATGTCGTCGTCCACAGTGCCTGTGCACAGCCAGCGTCAAGCCAGTGTTTCGCCAGCGTCAAGCCAGCGTCAATGCCAGCGTCCAGTCAGAGTCGAGCCAGCGTCAAAGCAGCATAGCAAGACTGAATGTTGACCACCTCGAGACCCAGCCTTATGTAGCCTTTGACGAGGCTGTCTGGCCTTGGGTCCTCTTTCCACAGTCGTACAGATTGACTCACAGCCGAGGGCCTGGATTGTGTACAGTTGCAGATCTCCCCTTGGTCCTGTTGTTGTCTGGGTACCTGCATACAAATAAGTGTGTGTGTCTGACCGGCCGCCTGGGCTGGGTCCACTTTGGACTTTGACTGTTGGGGCCCGACAGTTGACTTTAGTCAACTGTATCTCATCCAGGCCCTGAGTTTAGACGTAGGGTTCTTTCCCCCCCCCTTTTGCCTGGGTCTGAGTGCGGCCTGGCGAGGCCCTCAGACATTCCACGAGGCATACGGCTTGGGTTATTGCAGGGGGGGGGGGGGGGGGGGGGAGGTTTCCGCTGGACCGTGGTCCTGCTCCCCCGTCTTGTAAAAATGTACAAGTCGAGGGAAGATAGGTGCCCAAGCGGCCGAATCAAATGCTAAAGCTCCTGACCAGGCGCTGAAGAAGAGAATTACTTATGCAGCACAGAAGCAAACAGTAAGGTCATTAGCTAAGTTTCCTAGATGAAAGATCGGAGGTGTCAATGCCCCAGAGGGGAGCGAACTCTGTTTTTGACATACACATGAATACAAGAGCCATAGCCAAAAAAGCACGGAGGGTAGGAAAGATCAAAAAAATTCAAGGGGAAGTAGCATCTCATTCGGCGGAGTATATGCTAGACAGCGATTATGCTGATGGAAACATCGATTCAGAGGAGTCTATGGTTACTGTTCCATCCGAGGGTATGCCATAATCACATAGCAGATCATTTGTTAGAAGAGCAATCTCATAGCCTTACTTTTTAATGAATCAAGCAGCAACACTGGAGAGGCAGCAGGTAACGCCGGGGAAGCGACAAAATACTACGCAACAGCAGTGTTGCACACCCCGACCGTCGGCGACCCTTGACTGGTCGCCTGCCGACCCGCCAACCGGTCGGCTGGCCGGAACCTACTGGTCGGGGGTCGTCGGCACCCCGCATTTTTTTTTTTGGGGGGGGGGGTCCAGAACCCCTAATAATATCACCAACACCCCCATAGCAGACCCCAATACCCCATATACCACCCCAACAGCCCCGAACAGCCGCCAACACCCTTATTAAACCGTCCATAACCCCCTATATCACCCCTATACTCCGGCGCATCGCATGCGCGCGAGCTCCGCACGTGTGGCGCCTAGTGCACGCGCAACCATGCGCGCACACACCAATAAATAGAGTTAAAAAAAATTGGGGAGGGCTGGGTGAGGTAGCCAATGGTGCCCCTCCCTTCTAAAATATCGAAGGGCATGGGAAAAAAAAATGAGCATACGAATTCCTTGTTGAATTGTCCTTTTCCCGAAGGACCCCAGTGCATCTGCAAAGGTCCCAACGTCTCAAGAGACGTTCGGCAAATTTCGTGTGAGAATGGAGCAGGCCAGCAATATATGTTCTGGATCCGAAGTCAGGTCTGCTTTCCAGCAGTTATGGGTTACACGTTACAACTACTTACTACCGTAGCTCTCTTTTTCTTTTGTTTCGTTTTCCTACGAGCAGTGGCCCTAAGGGCCTTGCTCCACCCGTCACCACTTGCACAAACGACAAAACATATGGCGGCATATGAGTCCATGTTCTAGCAGCAGATTCATTACTCTGTTTCTTTTGTTTCCTTTTCCTACGAGCAGTGGCCCTAAGTCGTCACCACTTGCACAAAAGACAAAACATATGGCAACGTATGGTTTCATGTTCTAGCAGAAGATTCATTCCACTCTTTCTTTTGTTTCCTTTTCCTACGAGCAGTGGCCCTAAGGGCCTTGCTCCACTCATCACCACTTGCACAAAAGACAAAACATATGGCGGCGTATGATTCCATGTTTTAGCAGAAGATTCATTCTAGTTTTGCACATTTGGTGAGTRGYGGAGGGAAGCCCTGGAAAGCACRTGGTGAGTTGGCCTTCTACTGCCCAGAAACTCGCGTGCTCAGTGGTCCCATAACTCCTGAAACGCGGACCTTAATGTGAATCAACAGCATATATACTTGGCGTGCCATGACTCTGTTAYGAGCATTAWCTCGTTCACGGTGAGGTAGCCCTTACTAATTATGTGCAAGGGCCTCTCAAATAGCCCCCAGGGGTTTTGAAATAAATGTTAAGGAGCTATTTGTTTCCCCCCACCCCGAAACCAAAGTTTCTCAGCGGATTTGGGCAGTACTCAGCAAGCGCAGTACAGCCGTGAAGTCGGAACAAAAAACAAATCAGCGGAGGACTATTTTCTGAGACATCGGCTACCGCGGACCAGTCGGCCCTGATCGGTCGGTACAATACGGTCGGCAGTCGGCCCGACCGGTCGGCGGGGATGCAACCCTGCGCAACAGCACAAATTTCACATCACACTATTGCTTTCAAATAGAAGACGAAAAAGGTAGAAGTGATTACAAAATCCAATCCGACAAGAGATTCAAAGATCACACAGATTGTCTCTGAAGAAAGCCTGGTGATTGTTTTTAGAAAAAAAATGCAGCAAAGATTACCAATCATGCAAGGGCCAGAACAAGGGAATGAGAAGTCGGGAAAGAAAAGGCGAGAGTAAAAGAGGGGAGAGAAGAAGTTGAAGAAAGGAAAACAGAAAACCTGCACCATGCCCTTCCGTGCCCCTATTTTTGCGTCCATGCGCAAGGGGCATCACAGCAGATCCACAGGCGGGGTGGCATATCCCTGAGGCCTTTCTGCCGCCTGCCACTGGCGGCGTCATCAGAGGGGAAACTTTCCTTTGTCGTCGGAAGGCCGAGAGCGAGACGAGGGAGGGTTCGGGGGGGTAAAGGGAGAGGAGACCGGAGCCTTGCGATGGCGAGAAGCTGAAGACCGAGCACTCCCGGAGGGACATCGTGAACACGGACTGCGGGGAGACGTTGAGGCGTCATGCTCCGGCGGCTGGTCCGGCTGTAAGGGCGCTGCCTCCGGAGTTGTCAGAAAAGCTAAACAGCTCTGATCCAAAGCAACCGAGCTATGCCAAAAGTTGTACTGCTTTTGGGTCTGCATGCTCTCCCCGACTGGCAGGGCTTTGAGACAGCATTCTATCACAT